TCCTGGGGCTGGACAGGGTTCCTGGGGCTGGACAGGGCTCCTGGGGCTGGACAGGGTTCCTGGGGCTGGACAGGGCTCCCGGGGCTGGACAGGGTTCCTGGGGCTGGACAGGGCTCCCGGGGCTGGACGGGGCGCCCAGGACTGGATGGGGCACCTGGTGCGGGACAGGGCTCTCAATGCCGGATGGGGCACCTGGGGCTGGACAAGGCACCCGGGGCTGGACGGGGCTCCCGGGAGCTTGGCAGGGAGCCCGGCTGCCCCGACCATACCAGGATGCACCGGCTCAGCCTCCCCACTAAACACCATCCTGAGGGTGTCACTGCCTGTTCACTGCCCCACGGCAGCACCCGTCCGGCGCAGCCCAGCCCCGTGCTGTCACCCTCAGGGGCTTTCGTGGCCCCGGGAGACAGGGGCTGCACCTGGAGGGGCGAGAGGGGCTGGCGCGGGCAGGGGTCTGGCCCCAGTGCCCTCCTCGCGGCAGCACTGCCCTCGCCGCGTGTCCCCGGCTGCCGCGCGGCTCTGCACCGACCCGGCCAAGCCTCTCCTCGGGAGCGCAGGAATCGCGGCACCTACCCTTTTTCCGAACAACTTCTTCCGACTCTGGCTTGCGGCTGACGGACACAACCTTCATCACCAGGTGATTGCCCCCTTGCCGGATCAGCGAGACCACCTGCTTGTGCCCCACCTTCACCACGTTCACGCCGTTCACCTGGGACACAAACAGAAACAGAGCGGTGTTTAATCTGCCCGTGGCACAGAGCAGGACGGAGCCAGGGAGCAATGCTGCTGATGGCGAGAACCCAGCCCCAAGGGTATCCACCTCTGCATGGATTTCCATGCTCCGTCACATCCCATCTTCATATTTAACCCATCCCTGAGGGATGTCACCTGCTTGTGACCGCAGCCCTGTGCAGAAGCTGGGAGAGCTGCCACAGGGGCAGCAGCAGCTCCCACCCATGGACCGGGCGGCCAAGACACCCCACCAGAACCGGGCTCCTAAAGCTCCCTCTTGCAGGGGCAGCGAAGGCTCCTGGACCTGCCAGCCCTGCGCTGGTGCCGCTCGCAGCCCCTGCAGAAGGGCAGAGGCGCCGGGACAGGGAGCCCGGCAGAAACAGGTCCCGTTTCGCAGAGCGGGAAACTGCTGCAAGCCCAAGTGCAGCTCCTGCAGCCCCTGGAGCTCCTGCAGCCCCTGCGAGACAGGCAGCCCTGCAGCCCCTGCAGCCCCTGCAAGGTGGGCAGCCCTGCAGCTCCTGCAAGGCGGGCAGCCCTGCAGCTCCTGCAGTCCCTGCAAGGCAGGCAGCCCCTGCAGCCCCTGCAAGGTGGGCAGCCCTGCAGCTCCTGCAAGGCGGGCAGCCCTGCAGCTCCTGCAGCCCCTGCAAGGCGGGCAGCCCTGCAGCCCCTGTAGCCCCTGCAGCCCCTGCGAGACAGGCAGCCCTGCAGCCCCTGCAGCCCCTGCAAGGCGGGCAGCCCTGCAGCCCCTGCAGCCCCTGCAAGACAGGCAGCCCTGCAGCCCTGCAAGGCAGGCAGCCCTGCAGCCCCTGCAGGCCCTGCAGCCCTGCAAGGCGGGCAGCCCTGCAGCTCCTGCAGCCCTGCAAGGCGGGCAGCCCTGCAGCCCCTGCAAGGCAGGCAGCCCTGCAGCCCCTGCAAGACAGGCAGCCCTGCAGCCCCTGCAGCCCTGCAGCCCCTGCAAGACAGGTAGCCCTGCAGCAGTCCGGGCCCGGCTGCCGCTCCCTCGGCGCTGCTTTCAGCGCTCCCACAGCGGCTGAGCGCAGCGGCTCCCACAGCACCTTCTGGGATCAGGAGCACTCGCTCGTGCCACCTCACCAGGCAGGTACTGCTAAGGGAAACCAGAAACAGATGAAAATGAAGCTTCCCTGCCTAGACACTTAGCCCCGACGGCCGGCAGCCGGGCCCTGGGGTGCTGGGGGGACACTGTCAGTGCACTGTGCACTGCTGACCCCAGAGGCTTAGTTACACCTTGTGGAATTAAAATAAAGTAAAATAAAATAAATAAAATAAAATAAAATAAAATAAAATAAAATAAAATAAAATAAAATAAAATAAAATAAAATAAAATAATAAAGACTGGCTCGCATACTTGGACCATGGCTGTTTACACCTCTGGTTTACCCAAGGGCTGCTGTTCCTGCAGGCACTAGGCAATTAGCGGTGGCAAACGAGGCGCGTGATTAGCCCCGGGCAGCAGTGCCAGGGTGGGTGCTGAGGGCAGCACCCCGGGTTAGGCCAGGAGAGCCCGCGGGTGCCGGAGCGGAGCGCGCACACGGAGGCGGCGGCAGGACGCAGGCTGTCCGGGTCCCGGGCACCGGGAAACGGGAATCCAGCCCTGCCCCAACGCATGCTGCAAACGCTCCCCAATTCCCACCGCTGAAACAAGCCCCTTCCTATTTAAAAGAAATCGAGATGCTGCCACTAGCTGTTGTCTCACCCTTCTTTACCGCAGCGTCCCTCCCTCCCGGCCGGCAGGACCATCCTCTGCGTCGCAGAGCGCGCTGCCATCGATGCGCCGGGCACCAAATGCACAGGGCCCGGGGGACGGGCACCTGGACGCTGCAAGAGGCACTTTTTTTCCTGCTCCTTGCAAATATACACTGCTTTGTCTCAGAGCAAATAAAGTCCAAGGCGTATTAATTAATACTAATCCCAGGCAGATTGAACTGTTGTTGTTTATATTATATTACATTACATTATAATATTTAATAATAATATAATACATTAATATAATTAAATGCTTAAAAATAGATCGCATTTGCAACGTGTAAGAAGCAGTGCTGTTTCCTACGGAGCAGCACAAAAATACAAAAATGAAAAAAAAGCATTGAACTCAATGAAGAAACGGAAATAGCAACATTTCGCAAGATGCAATGCTTTCACGTTTCTGCTTTATTTCGAGCATTTCCCCCGCTCGGTTCTCAGGAAAACACGTGTTTTCCTTGGATTGGGATGGCGTTTGCGCAAGTGCTAAGTGGGGTCTCGGGGTAGTCCTGGGGCGCCGAGGACGGCGCGCGGGTGATGCCTCCTCACCGGGTGATGCCTCCTCACGGGCAGCTCCCGACTCTCACTGCTGTCACCTGGCAAAGCCGTGAACATTCGCACTGCCGATTTTCCCAGCCACCACCTTGCTAATGCAATGGAAACGTGACGCAGCAGCAAATAACAGCCCTACAAAACCCATTCGATCCGAGCAGTTAGCTGCCACCTCGAAGAACAAAACAGGTTTTGTGCTATGGGACTTTCTGCTCTGCCCTGCTCCTTATCAGCTCACTCCAATACCAGTTTCTACATTTTTTTTTTGCCAGGGACTGACACCAGTTTCAGTCGTTTAAAATTTACTACCTGGAGCTTCCTCCCCGTGCCGCGCATTAGCACTGTGCGGGTCCTGGCACCTCCCCAGCATTGCGAAATTTAGAAAATGAGAAAACATAAAACCCGCTCAGCACCTGGAAGAGGCTGCCGGCCTCGGTTACTAACGGGTGCGAAAGTGTTTCAGCATCTGCATGTGGCAGAGGCGCGTCAGCCCGCTCCTTCCAAACAAAGCCCAAGGCGAGCACGCCCCGGCTTGCTGCTCCATTTCCAGGCACCCGCGCGCTCGGATCCGAGCCGTGTTTGGGCAGTTTTTGCTGCCAGCTCAAATGACAGCTGGAAATACTGATTTTCAGCTCTTTATAATTTGGTAAGATCTGGAATGGAGGAAAGGTTTTAATGTGGTCAGAGAGCTTTTTGCCCAGTGTGTCTCGTGTGACCATACGCGAACAACTCCTAGAAAAAAAACGCAAAAAAATGAAAGCAAATCGGCCAGAAATGCGCCAGGAAATGAGCAGGATACTGAATTTGTGAAGAAAATCTTGGCCAGTGGGGTCTGGAATGCAATAAAAACTTGACCCATGGGAAAAAACTTGACCCTGCACTGACCAGGATGGAGGGGACAGCCCTCCAAAGGTCCTCCAGAAGCCAACCTCAAAGTGTGTGTCCCATTCTGCCAAGCCATTGCAATGGGATGAAAACAAGCAGGAGCTTGTTGCCAACCCAGCAACCACCATGTGCTGCTGAAAACAGGTGAGAAAGCGGTCAAGAGGCTAAGATAAAACAGAAGGCCAAAGAGGAATGGTGCAGAGCAAAGCTAATCACAACGGAGAGCGATCAGAGTTGCATGAATGGTGCAGGGAAGTCTGGAAAGAAAATGATCCTAAACGATATGAAGTCCTGATTCCCACCCGATTACTGGTAATGCCCAAGAGGACGAGCTACGGGACTCTGCAACTGTGAAGCTTTTTGGTTAAAACCTCATCAAAGCAAAGGTTCCTGAATATTTCATAGGGAAAATTTCAAAATACAAAAGGAAGAGCATGCTGGCGAGACACGTTCGCTCGCAGCTCTACAGATGCTTGCTGGGGATGCCCAGCTGTCAGGGATCATGATGATGGCCTGGAGGAAGGCAACAGATCACGGACCAAACCATGCAGAAAGCAACTGCAAAGCATGAGAGAGGAATGTGAGGATCCTGTGTCACAGCCTGCGGTTGATCCAAACCCTTCTGAACAGCCAAATGAGGCATCAGAGCTGATGAAAGCCAGGACTGCTCAGACGGAGCTCACGGCTGAGTGCTGCGGATGAGCACCCGTATACGTAAACACCTCCAGGTACATCAATGCACAGTGACGTGCATTTCAAACTCACCCGGACGCGCTGCCGGCCACGCAGCCGGCACTGCACCCCGGCAGGGTTTGGGTCGGCACCGGCAGCTCTCCGGGCCCCGGGCGCAGCCGGGGCTGGAATGGCCGACAGAACCGGTGCCAGGAGGGAGCCCGGGAGCCAAGCGGCGGCACCGGCCCCGGCGGCTCCGGGGCTGGTCTCGGGGCTCGGGGCTGGGGAGGGAGCCGGGGCTCCTTCCTTCCCCTTCCATCCGTTCCAGGATGTTCCTTCCCTGCACATCCTGCCTGAACGGGTGTCCAGGGCGGATCTTGCTCCAGATGAACAGCTCCAAGCCTCGTGTAACGGGACTAATCCCTTCCTTGTGACCCATCAGCCAACACCTACCATGGAAGAAGGCTCAGGAGAGGCAGGCAGAGTCCACGTGCCCGTGATGCTCAGCGAAGCATCAGTGCAGTGACTAACCAGGGCAAAGAAAGCAGAATTTATCCCAATGCAAAGGGCCACCCAGGGCTGCCTCTGTCATGGATAAAGGACTGTATTGGTTGAGTGACCCAACCGACTGATGAGCTGAGCACACCAAGCAGCCCTGCACCTTCAGCCTGAGCTAACGAGTAGAGCGCAGATGTGCTCCTGAGCTGGCCACACCAGCACGCTGCAGGAGCAGGTTCACACCAGCCAGCTGAATGCAAGAGCATGAAACACAATCAGCAATAAAAAGAGCTTCCTGGGCAGCAATGGGCTGGAGCTGATCTCGATGCACACATTCCCTCCTGGAGCCCGGGGACGTGGAGCACCGGCGTGGCCAACACGTCGCAGAGGCTGCTGAGGAGTAGGACGCTTGTCCTGTGGTTCCTCCGCGCGCCGCATCGGCTGCAGGTCACCTAGACCTGCCTAGTGACTCCGGATTGTTACTGCAGCACTTGCAAAACCAAGATCCCGTGTAACACCAAATACCCCACGGAAGGTTTCTATCAAACACTACGCCCTCCACGCGTGGGACGTGTGACGGCCGGTGAGAGGGAGCCTCGCTGACGCCTC